ATATGTCTAGGCTTTACACGGGGTTTGGTCCTTTGGCCGTGAGTATATTTCTCTAATGGTCCATTTTGTTGATGTATTTTATTCAAGCAAAATTGACGATGTAAACCGCGCCACCTTGATGGACTCGATGCTAAGCTAAACTTCATTATGCGAATTGTGTGTATGTTATCAGCGTTTCACAACATGAGACAAAACCTGTCAACTAACGTTACGTTACTGCAGTGTGGTGAAAAATTTGTGTTAGAGGAAATTATACAATGTTGGAGTGTATTTGAAAAAAGCAATTAAGTTAATATTGTATAGTATAGTTTTTATAACCTTTGCAAATATTTAAAAAGTACCTGAAATAGTGTGTTAATGTTATTGAGATCTATAGGTAGTAACTTAATACAAGTATTTGCGTTTGTCATGATAACTGCTCACTTGTATTATTCTCTATGGTTTTGGTTTCAGTTTTAAGGCTGTCTAACATTATGGCTGCTGTGGAGAAAGTAGAAAAGGAGTGTGAGGAGGAGACCCTGCAGACCGCTTTTAAGAAACTGCGTGTGGATGCTGAAAGGTTTGTTGCCTTTTCATTTGTTTCAGCTCCAGATTGTCATACAAGTGAAGTGGATGCTCATAATTTTGGCAGAGAGGGTTTTTGTACTCTGCGAATAATTGCACGTTTTTCTTTCCAGTTCCACAAACACAGTCCGCGTCTCTGAGTCTTTGGCTTCCAGATTGGTTGTTCGAGGCAGTCCGGACGGAGCCAAATCCAAGATGACATCCTCGAAAGATAACTGGCTTGGGTAGGAACCTCTTAAAGATTCCCAAATCAACCCTAAAAAAGCCTGATATATGAAAAATCAGGCCACCCTTAAAAATATTCTTGTTTGCCGTAACCCGACCGACCCTGTCAATTTAGGGCCGACCCAATTTTTTATTTTTTTTCCCTTTTAGTCCGACCGACTTGCCGGTTGTAACTTGCGTTCAGACCGACCGATTTTTTTTTTTTTTTTTTTTTTTTACTCTTCAAACGACTAATTCAAATTCCATAAAATGATATTTTAGTTAGTATTGTGAAAGTTGCTTATGTCTACAAACGTAGGCTACGTTCTTTCTTTTAAATAAAAACCCGTGGCGTCATAGTCATCTGATTATGTTTACACGATTGGTTTACCCGTGTCACACTGTCTATAAGGCTTATACGTTCGCTTCGTTTCATTCAGTGTTCCCGCTTGGTAAACCCGGTATTAAATGGGCTGAATATCAACCATTTCTATATATAATAATAATATTAAACAATTTGTCTGATGCAATTTTGCTATTCGCAGTCCAGAAGAGAGAGAGAGCGATCTCTCACCCGGAGCCACAGCGCGAACAACATGACAGCCCTGCTTAATGAGTGACAATGAGGACAGAACGTGGTTACCTACACTTTAGATCTGGGATATTATTCTAATTGTATTTTAGATTTCCGCTTTCAAAGATTATAAAAAGATATTTGAGATGAAACCATTACAGACGCATTCTCCCTTCACAGCGTTGCGCTGTCATTTCTTCCTAAAACCCAAACGTACCGTCAGAATCAGCACGATCGGTAATTGTTGTAAAATGCAGTCTGTACTGTTGCTAAACTGCGTACGGGTTCAATCATTAAAAGAGCTATTAAAAGCACAAAAGTCTGCGCAAGAGACGCTGTTCACAAGGTGATGCCTGCTCCGAAATGCACCGCAACGGGACAAGAAAAGTAGGCTATAGCCTCATTTTGGGCTTCATGTGCGCAGCTAAACTATCAAATATACATAAAATCTAAAATGACCTGCTCTGAGATTCATTTAAACACAGTTTATGTCTTAAATGGATGTGAATAGTTGGGAGGATATGGTGGTGCATCAGTCATCTGTTAGATCCGCACTCGGTCTTAAAGGGGCAGTAGTCTAATAAACATGTGACGATTGAGCCAGTAATGGGAATCAAACACAACAAAAGGCAGAGAAAAATCACTCGCAGCTCTTGAATTATTAACTTAAACTTTAATAAGCATTAATCTAACTATGATAAACCATGCAGTGTCATTTTACATTTGATTTACTAAATTAAATTTCTTTTCAGACAGCGCAACACACTTAACTGAAAAGTAGCTAATTTTAGACCTTTCTGAAATTAAAGCACTGTGTATATAGGCTTATTTTTTATCTTTGTTTAATTGTATTCTTTGTTTCACCATGTGTTTGTACTTGTTTTTGCTTATATCTCATGTATTTGGGGAAAAAAAGCCTGCACACTGCTGCATAACAAATACAGTAGATATTTATTCATTTTGTGACTGGCCTAAAAACGTAACCGGTTGTAGGTTGCAATAACACCTAGTGGTGGATGCACAGTTTGAAGACCCAGTCAGTGACGTCACAGTAGCCTATGCAATTAAAAAAAAAAAAAAAATTCATGATCACCATGACCAAAATTTTACTTTTTTTTTTTTACACTGAATCCTGGAAAAAAAAAATATAGACCTACCTACCGACCCTTTTTAAAAAAAAAATTGCTGTTACTGCAAACCAAAATATTTTTAAGGATGGCCTCAGTTTGAATTTTTGTTTTTAAATAGAGCTTATTGAACCTTAAGATGATATTTTATTTAAAAATATAAAGTAAAAGGTTTGGTTATCATATTTGATACTTCAGGCATTTATGTCTGCGTTTCGATCTCGTGGACTGCAATGAGGTGCTACTGAAAAATAAGGGTAGAAGGCATGTAGTAGATCATGTGATCAATGTTAGAGACATTAGAAATTCATGTATCGTATATGATACAGTAGGCTTTACAGATAATATAAAAAATATACTAGTAAAAATATATGTTTTCACCTTTTACTTTTCACTATAGATGTACGAGAAAGTCATCCAGAGGAATTGTGAGAAGCCAGCGACGCAGACGATCAAAATCTCCGATCCTTCATCCTCCGAAGTTTACCTACTGCAGCAAAATGTCCCCTCCTCCTGGACACCTGAAACACAAGACCCCGCCAGAGCCCGACGACACCAGCGGCGTCAAGAAAGAAGTGGCGTTCTCCGCCCCGTGCTCCACTGTATTCGGGGTCGTTGGGTATGAAACCCATCTCCCTTATCCCAAGGGTCAGGAATCGCCCCTCAGTCCGAGAAAGCCGTCGGATGACGAGAGCTCTCCCGAAAACAGGCCCGCTTTAGGATGTGGGCCGGGGTCTCAGGAGGCGGGCGAAGGTAAGGCTGTTCCGCCTGACTTTAAAACTCTGTCCAAGTTGCAGGAAGCCGGTCAGTGCCCGTGTGGGCAACGAGAATGCCATTGTCCTGGTTGGCAGGGGGTCGAGGTTTACTCATTCACCGGCCTTCGTGACGTGATCTCCGAATGTGAACTTCCGAACAGCAGAACTTCCATCGGGAGTAATAACGGATCTTCCAGCTCCCCTCGTTCTTGTTCCGAACAGGCCCGCGCCTACGTGGATGACATCACAATAGAGGACCTTTCCGGATACATGGAATATTACCTTTACATCCCCAAGAAGATGTCGCACATGGCCGAGATGATGTACACCTGAAAAACAAAATTTAACGAAGTATCATTAAAGATGGATAATGGGTACTTTTAAGGAATAAAAACATTGATTTATTTAAAAAGAATAGTAAGAAATAGTAATGAAGATGTTATCTAAAAGCAGTTCTACTTGCATTGAGGATTTCTGATGTTTGTTCTTTATCCAGAACATCCGGACAACACGTGCTGACTAAGAATCATGGGAGCATGACTCATTCTGTGATTTACTGCTAACTTTTCTTTGTTTTTGTTTGATTTATCTTGATAACTGTAATGTTTGGTTTACATTTTAAAGTTGCCAAAGGTCTATTCTAGAGACTGCAGGTTTGATTTCACTGATATATGCAAACTTCCACAATGCCATTGCCATGTAATAATTCTGTTCACCATGACCGAGGCTGTGATGTCATCTTAATTTTCAATAAAACGGCATTTTGGGGATTGTTCATGACTTTGTTGTCTTGGACATCTTGCTTTCTATTTTACTGCTGCTTGGCTTTTGTGACTGATTTACCAAGATGTTTTATTTCTGTAGGAAAGAAATAATCAACTATATTGCTACATGTATTTTAATTAGGGCTGGACAATGATTAATCGCATCCAAAATAAAAGTTTGTGTTTACATAATATATGTGTGTGTACTGTGTTTAATTATTTTGTATATAAAAAAATCACACGTGCATGTATATATTTAAGAAAAATGTGTTATTAATACTGTATATAAAATATGAATATTTATATTTAATATAAGTTATATATAAATCTATATACATGAAAATATTTCTTAAATATATACATGCATGTGTGTGATTATTTTTTTATATGAAAAATAATTATACACACACATATATTATGTAAACCCAAACTTTTATTTTGGATGCGATTAATTGTGATTTATCCTTGCCCAGCCCTAATTTTAAGTAATAAATTGGTAGTCGAATTTTAGTCAAAACAATTTTAAGTTTTGGTGCTACTTTGATGTCTTCACCCATAAATGACTTTAAGTAGAAAAAAAAAGTAATTAAAATGAATAAAAGTTTATAAAAAATAACATGATGCATTATAACAGTGGAAAGGTTATAATGTATTAGTAGTTATACTTGCATGGGTTCATTATGCAAATAACCTTCAGTTTTTATTTTTACTACATAAAGATAGCTGTCACATGGAGAGGGGCTTCCTCTTTAAAACATCCCATTTGTTCTGACGTATAGACTGGAATGAAACGACCTGATAAACTACAGTACTAGTACTCTTTTATTACAAGAAAACAGAGCACTGCATTGAAATATAACATGAAAGGGAGAAAGAAAAAACATTAGCGTCTCAATCGTTAAGAATTGTTAAGAAACGTGTTATTCAATTTAACTAGTACTCCATTTTTGTGTAAACCTCAAAAAAAATTTCCTGACGTAATTTTAATCATCTTCCTGTAATGGACACAAGGGGGCGACACTGGATCATTCCTTCACCTTCACGAATCACGCAGAGCTTCTGTTTAACACGGTAAGTAAACCTTATTTTGTGAGCCATTAGAGACCATACAGTGATTTCGAATATCAATAACATGCATATTAATGATATATAATATGAAATGGCCTGGTCAGTAGCTGATAGGAGCTCATTGTTGTACTATTTGACACGAGATAAAACTGAAATGGTTAATGGAGATCTCACTCACTTATAACGAAATCTCAAACATCACACAAACCACAACATCTGCATAATATTACATGATATTAAGACCACATAAATGTGCATTTTTCCCCGTTTGGGACTGGGTCTCGAAACAAAAATTATGTTCAATCTCGATCTGGATATCAGCTTCTGATTCAATTTCAACTTGATTGCAAATTTTGCAGTAAATGGAGCATTTTCTATTTTAGGTCTTTCTGGTTCTCGAATTGACAGGATTTGGTCTTGATGGGCCTCAAGTTTCGATGTAATCATACTCAAGGATGGCTGGGCAGACCAAAGGTAGGATAATTATATTAATATTCAACCGTTCAAACCCCCATTACTGTAACCTTTATTTCTGTAGGGCTTTTTACAATACAGCTGAAGTCAGCTCAGTGTTGATTCAGTTCCATTGAAAATCATCAATTATTTAATCATTTCCTCTATAAAGCAGTTCTGCAGAAAACAGTGACGTCATCGTCCATTTCAGTGTCAGTGTATTCAAATCAGTAGCCTAATAGCCTATTGTTGAATTATTAAGAGTCAAATTCACAATTAAAGTCAAGTAATAATCTGCATATTTACTGTTTATGGTGGTTACGGGGTCACCAACTTTTTTCTCTCAGATGTAAACGTACAGAAAGCACAACAAATATCCATGTAAATAGATTGACTTGTTCCAGAATGTCCCCAGTGTTTACGTACCCTAGCCCTGCGCACATGGGCCGGTCAGGTGACTGTTCCTGTCAGCAGGTGAGACGCCCTAAAGGGCATTCCAGTGAAGCATACCTTAACCTTGTGTTTTCCACCACGTCACAGATACTCCATATCGTAATATGTGGTCACTGTCACGGCAGAAGTCATCTCTCACTTATCATGTATGCTTTGTATTTAGATGCAAGTCTAAACCTTAATCAACAATCCACTTTTTTCTGCTTTACTGGTTTCAATTCTGTCTCTCTGCTCCTGTGAGAATGACTTGTAAGGTTGTGTGGATTTTTACAAAGGGGGAACCTCATCAAAGCATACCAAGAAAAGCTATGGAAACACACAAAAGAGTCTGTTGGATGTTGCCAGTGAACAAAAGCTTCCCAGCTAACCAGTTTGCCTAATAATCAAGCCTTTTGTCAACCAGATTGAAGAAACACAGGGAATTGTGCTGGGAGAACATGTGCCACTGCTTGTGTTGTGGTCTGTTTGTTGTTGGTTTGTCTGAAATTGCTCCGAGGTTGTCTCGCTCACAGCTCATCAACTTTGTCTCAGATGTTTCTATTAAAATGTTTAAAGAGAAAGTAAAATAGAGACGCTTCTTAATAAGTAAGAGTTTTACTTATTAAAAGATGAATGTTTGAGTTCACACTGGGACTTTTGTGTCTCTGTAAAGTAAAATTTGAGACTATTTTAGGATTATCATCAAATTATTGCCGTTATTATTTTCATTATTATTATTTAGTTAAAAAAACCTAGAGCTTTAAGTACAAACTTTAAGTACAAACTGCAAACTGTTCAAAAGGCTTTAAACGATTCCAGACGATGAATAAGGGTCTTATCAAGCGAAACGATCGCTCATTTAATAAAAAAATAACAAAGTTTAAGTTTTATAAGCTCAGCTTTATCTTGCTCTGTTCTGCAATGCACGTTTGTGACTCTCCTATTCGAACTCATTCATCAAAATGAACGAATCTTTTTCCGAGTCAATTCATTGAATGAACCAAATGACTCGGAAAAAGATTTGTTCATTTTGATGAACGAGTTCGAACAGGAGAGTCACAAACATGCGTCACAGAACAAGGCGAGCATTTGCTTATAAAACTTAAATTTTATTTTTTATTTTTTTAAATGACCGATCGTTTCGCTTGATAAGACCCTTATTCATCGTCTGGAATCGTTTAAAGCCCTTTGAACAGTTTGCACTGAAACTGTCTTTTGGACCTTGAACCGTTTGGTTCCCATTGAAGTCCATTAAATGGAGAAAAATCCTGGAATGTTTTCATCAAAAACCTTAATTTCTTTTTGACTGAAGAAAGAAAGACATGGACATCTTGGACGACATGGGGGTGAGTAAATTATCAGCAAAAGTTTTTTTTTTTTAAACTTTAACTTGCAAAAAAGTATGAAGTATCAGTCAGTCAACAGAAAGCATAAACGTTTTGATCATGTTGATAATTTAGAGAGCTTAGTTTGCGTATCAAATCTGATAGAGAGTAAGCTTTATAGGTTAAAAGTGCTGCTGTTTGTGCCCGGACTGGTTCCTGTAGTGCTACTGTGCTGGTTTTGTCGAGACTTGTCTCCTCACCTGCGGTCCCTCATTCCCGGCCTGCTCCTTTTGTACGCTGGAATGCTTGTACTTGAATCCTCGGCTCATTCAATCACGGGCTCAGGAGAGGGAACGCCATTGTTCATCCTGGTGGGGTTGCGTCCCCTCGGGAGACTTATTTGATGTAATACAATATGCTCTTTTTTAAGGGTGGCTGCACAGATTGCCTGATGATGAGATTCTAACTATCTTCTAACACTTGCTGGCTAATTTTCAGATTTCCACTTTTATATATGGCAATGCTATGGAAACATTGGGAAAATATACGTCCGTGTGGAAAAGATTATGCACCAAAATTGAATACTTGGGGGTTTTGAATTAACTATGTAAGCACTAGTAACAGTGGTGCTTTTCTTAGCAAGACCTACTAATAATATAAAGAGACATTTTACAATGTTTATATGGACTTTTTGACCTGAGCTACTTTTTCCCATGGTGTAGGATGAACGGGCATATGGAAGTGTTTAGAACGGCACAGCTAGCGCGGTTCTGTCGCCACTCAACCAACAGCCACCCTCATAGGGGCATGATCCTAGCAACTGGGGGTCAAAGGTCAGCAGAGGTGAGTGAGACTGGAAAGATCCAGATTGCTCTGATGAGTCAGTATGTGTTTTTGAAGGGTTCGGCCACTTATTTCTCATTTTTCCTTTTTATCTGCTTCAGCTGGATATTTTCTTTTTCTTTTTTTTTTCTTTTTTTGTAAGTTGGATCACATGGCTTTTATATTTCTATGTAATAAAAACACCCTGGCATGTTCATAATAATATCATCAACAAATCTCATGATATTGTATAGATCTAAAACAACGTATTAGGTATTAACCATTTGCATTAGCATTACAGCCACACTCTAAAAATGCTGGGTTGTTTCAATCCAAATTTGGGTCAAATATGGACAAACCCAAATGTTGGGTTAAACATGCAATTAGAAAACAATTACAGTTTAAAGTGAAAGTTGAAGTTGGGTTAAAATTTTAAATTACATTTTTCACCCAACGTTTGACCTAAATTTGGGTTGAAACAACCCAGCATTGTTTAGAGTGTGTAATGTTCAGTTTTGCAAGTCATATAATTGGCAAGAATACATTATTGTATTTTGATAGTTCTAATTTTTCAAGAATGTTGAACCGTTTTTGGACAGATCTCTAAAAAATTGTGTTTCAAACCAAATCTGGGTCAAATATGGACAAATGGGCCATTGGGTTACATTTTTAAAGTAGGCTACACTTTTTAACCCAACATTTGGGTTTGTCCATTTTTGACCCAAAATAACAACATGGGTAAAATAACTACTTTCATAGAGTGGATATGATTGTAGAATGTGAAAAGTTTAAAGATTTTTGGGTGGGATGTGCCAGAAAGTAAAGCAATAAGACTATATTCGGAATTAAATACTAGTGACTATGTATACTAAAAAGGATATTTACACAGTTTTGGGTCAAATGTGGACAAACCCAAACATTGGGTTAAAAATGTAATTTACAAATTTAACCCAATGGCTGGGTTTGACCGTATTTGACCCAAAATTGGGTTAAAACAAGCCAGCATTTTTTTAGAGTGTATTATGAAATTAAAATTCACATCTGTTTTGTAAATGCAGTAATATGCATGATAGATCTTATTGATGAACAATTCATCTTTGCAAAAGATTCTTATTTTTACCTGATAATATTTAATCAAAATAGACCTTTCAATGAAAATGACACTCTCCCTGTTTGTGTTTTATCACTGATTAAAGCAACAATTTGAGTACTTCAAGTGTTTGAGTACTGCAAAAAAAAAAGTAATTTTATCTTTTTTCGTCTACATTTGAAATAAAATACTTTAATCGTCCAATTGTCATATTCAATTTGTAATGTTAGAAAAAAATATATGAAATATTTGATAGTAAATATGTTAAAATATAATGCCAACAAGACATGCACTAATCTATTTTGTTGTCCTTATATCTTTCAAATACATATATTGGATCATATTTCTAATTTAGTTTCAACAGACACAAAAAGGGAGTTAAAATAGTCATTTTATGTAACATAAATCAATCCCTTATTTATTCTGTATACCTTTAAATTACTTTCCATTTGGGCATGTGGCATCTTTAAACCCATAAAAATGCATTATGTTTCTATATTAATTAGATGTTTAAGACTCCATTACAGGTTTCATAAGCAAATGAAATTCAGATGAAAGCACTGGTTGATTTTGATCTTCAATCTAATGCATATTAAAAAGGTGAATCAACATATTCTGTTCTAATTAACAGCAATTCATTTGCTAATGAGAGTGCTGGCATTCATCTAGCTTATGATCAAAGAGAAAGTTGTTCTGATTACTTTCTAAACTATCGTCTAATGAGCTTTCTAATGTGAGAGAAAACGTGTAATTCAACACAAATCTGTGTTCACTGACTGATGAGGTGAGGCTGTATGCAGTGAAGCTTAGCAGAACATTGATTGCATCAAGCTCTTCATCATGATCAGGACTGCAGATCAGTGCTGGTAAATGCTGGCTCCTTCTTAAAGGAGTAGTTCACTTTTAAACAAACTTTTGCTGATAATTTACTCACCCCCATGTCATTCAAGATATCCATGTTTTTCTTTCTTCAGTCGAAAAGAAATGAAGGTTTTTGATGAAAACATTCCAGGATTTTTTTTCCATATAATGGATTTCAATGGGAACCAAACAGTTCAAGGTCCAAAAGACAGTTTCAGTGCAAACCGCAAACTGTTCAAAGGGCTTTAAACGATTCCAGACGATGAATAAGGGTCTTATCAAGCGAAACGATCAGTCATTTTAAAAAAACAAAACAAAGTGTAAGTTTTATAAGATCAAATAGTCGCCTTGCTCTGTTCTGTGATGCGTGTTCGTGACTCTCCTGTTCGAACTTGTTTATCAAAATGAACGAATCTTTTTTTCGTGTCATTTGGTTCATTCATCGAACGAAACGAACGAGTTGACTCGGGAAAAGATTTGCTCTTTGATGAACGAGTTTGAACAGGAGAGTCACGAACGCGCATCACAGAGCAGGGCGAGCATTTGTGCTTATAAAACTTCAAGTTTTTTATTTATTTTTGAAATGAGCGATCATTTTGCTTGATAAGATCCTTATTCGTCGTCTGGTGTCATTTAAAGCCCTTTGGACCTTGAACCGTTTGGTGCCCAATGAAGTCCATTATATGGAGAAAAATCCTGGAATGTTTTCATCAAAAACCTTAATTTCTTTTCGACTGAAGAAAGAAAGACATGGATATTTTGGATGACATGGGGGTGAGTAAATTATCAGCAAAAGTTTTTTTTTTTAAAGTGAACTACTCCTTTAAGTCTCATCATCGCTTATCTACTCGAGTTCTGCCTGGCAGACCAAAACATCAGTATCAACTTGTTCAAGGTCAGAAACACTTGATTTGCAAAGACTCGTTTTCAATGTCAAAAAACATTTCTCATTAAATACATTTAAAGCTCTTGTCTCTTCTCTCAATTCAAAGGAAAAAACAGCAACGTCTGAACGTCTGATTGTACCTCAGATGTCCACATTATCACAGACTCATTCCCCTAGAAATGCATATCAGCATATCCACCTTATTTTGCAATGCATAACTAAGCTTTTTTTTATTGCATGTATAACTTCCGATTAGCCTTTTTCACACTTCCTTGTTTGTGGCTTCTGGATTTGCATAACTATAAAAATAACAAAGTGCCATAACCGGTTGAATTGGAACTTCATTGCATATGATATGAATAGAAAACAAGGCATTGCTTTCATTTCTGGGAAAAAAAAATATATATATATATTTTAAAGGAAATAATTGATGTGCCTTGAAATGTGGAGCGTTATTCAATGTGTTCACATAATTTCTACTGAAATAGGAAGACAGGGCGGGACATATCGAGCAGCTCCTCCCCTTTTTTAAAATAGCCAATAGCTTTAGTTTATATCACAGCTCGCCCAGAGCCGTTGAGCTCGATAAAGCTGCAGTTTCCTCCTAATCTCTAACCGTTTATCCTTCTAATCTCATCCATGACTTTAAAGCACAGCATTCTGTCCAGAATTCAAATGGATCTGATACGTTTTATGATCTGCGTCGACTCGATCATACGATCCGCTCTTTGCTGTCGTGTCTCTGGACCGGATCTGCAGAAACCCGACTTCATTCGCCTCAATGGAAAGCATATTTCCACTGTCCAAATCATTTTCTATGCCATATATAGTGCACTATGTGCCATTCACCATATCTAAAATAGTAAATGTGTGATCAAGTGACCGATTTCAGCCGCAGCTATGTGTAGTGGGTGGGACGCTTTAGATTCCAGAGCATTTGATTGGACAGAAAATCTGATGAGAAGCTGAAGTGCAGAGTGATGTCATCAGAATCATTGATAGATGTTGGCGAAAGTGAGAGACATAAGTTTTGAATGCTTATATCTTCTCAACGTGAATTGTGTCATTGTTTTGGAGCACACTAGCCTGTGGATAACCTTAAGGCTATCATATTCATATTAAAAGCCAAAAAAAAAAAAGATTTTGGGGGATTTTCAAGATTTAAAATATTTTGAAGGAGAATATTTTAAATTTTCATCTTTATATTTTCAGTTATGTGCTTTCTTTTACTATTTATTTTTAGGTTTTATATATATATATATATATATATATATTCAGCTGGAGTTATTTCATATATCGTCATATATCGTGTCATATTTCACACGTGATGCTTGCTTTAGCAAAAACAACTAATGAAAGCAAGAAACTTTAAAAAATGAAAAGTGTGGATTATAAGCAATAGAGTTATATTAATAGAACACACCAGAAACTCTTTTTATTTTTTCATGAAACCACAGAGAGCACCTGCCGTCTGCTCACTACCAAAAAGCAGAAGAGAAACGGACTCGGTTACATGTTGAGCTTTTGCCAAAAAACCCAGATTCATTATAATATTGGAGAGAACACAGAGAATTATATTGTGTCCTCATCAGAATCATGTATCTTGTAAAATAGAAACACTCATTGAGTATTGAAATGTCACACCTGGCCGAGAGCAAAGACGCGGCAGCGGGTGAAACGGCACAGAGACGTGTTTAGTGTCCATATTGTCTCCTGGGCATATAAACACTCTGAACTGGTAAAATGATCCATGTCAGAGTTTTTGCCTAACAAAGGCAGTTGAGGATAATCCTCAGTAAAATTTGGAGTAGAATGACACTATTCATCCAAACTCCACACCCTGAAACACATACAGTACACATGTACAATTTAGAAATGCATATTTAACTCGATATTTCTGAAACTTCAAAGCACTGCAACACTATTTCTAATTTATTTTTCACATATTATGAAGAAAACAAGTGGCGTTGACTTGGGTGTTTTGTGTGGTTACCAGGGTGTGTAAAGGTGGTTGCTATGGTGTTGCTGGGAAGAATTTTGGTTTCTTATACGTGGGTTTTTTTCACCCATTTTTGCAAATTATTAATCTCATTTAGAAAAATGTCAAAAGTTTGGGGTCAGTATCAGTGTTGTAGTCGAGACCACCTCACTCGAGTCCGAGTCGACACCGAGTACATAGAGAGTCGAGTCCGAGACCAGAGACGGTCGAGTCCGAGTCAAGACCGAGACCACTGAGGGTT